CTGGTTAACTCCCCAGATGGCCGCAAAGGCTGGAGCTACACAGATTAGAAGCCTGGAGCCGGGAGCTTCTTCCATGTCTCCCTGAGGGTGCAGGGGCCCAAGTACTTGAGCCATCTTCTACTGCTTTCCCAGGCCATAGAAGAGAGCTGGATCGGAAGTGGAGCAGCAGGGACTCGAACTGGCCCATATGGGATGCCAGTAATACAGGTAGCAGCTCTACCCTCTACACTACAGTTCTGGCCCCTCAGATCCACTCTTGATATCATTTCCTTAGGGGTTAGGACTTCATCACATGACTGGTGGGGAAACACACATTCACACAAAAGCACACCCCAAGTTCAACTAACTTAGCCCTGCTTCTATCTATGGCTTCCACATAAGGTTGATTTGGAAGAGGTCCCCAGCTAAAAGAAGCCTGAGAATGACTTCAATTTACTGGTTATAGAAAGTGAGACTCAGAAGGAGTGTGATGTGGCCAAGGCCACAGGGAGTAGGGACAGGACTTAAGTGAGCAGGTGACTCCTCAGCCACAGCTCTCTCCTCCACTGTCTGGGTCTATTACCACACTGAGTCTGCCTGTTTTCTTTGTGCCTACTCCTTATCCTTGGGAATTTGCAGCCAGCTGTTTCCCAAGCCCTTAACTGCAGATCAACTCATTCTGAATTCTTGAAAGCCTCATTAGGAAGCCAAGCTGTCAGGAAAGTTGTGCTCATCTCTTCCCTGGTCTGCCCCAATCTCAACCCAATACTAGGCTGAGCCCACTGCAGCCTGAGCACAGGAAAATCATGCAACCCAAAACGCACTTATCAAAATATCCTCTTCTGTTGTTTATAATTTTTAATTTATATAATGGGAAAAATTTTATATATTTCATATACTTTGATTTTAAGGACATAATGATATATCCCACCCTATCCTCCCTCCCTCACTTCCAGTCTCCCAGCTCCTTCCTTTCTTATTTTTCTTTTAATTTTTGTAGACATATTTTCAATTTACTTTATATTCACATGATTAACCCTCCACTAAATAAAAAATTCAACAAATAGTAAATAGAAAAACCACCAATCCTTGGGAGTATACACAGGGGTTACAAACAACAATCAAATCTCAAATTGTTAATTTCACTCATACACATTTTTACCCTGTGTATTAGTTCTTCCTCTATTTTAAACCAAGCAGAAACATTAGTGAAAGCTCTAAAATTAAAATACCAAAAAAAAAGTGTATCTATAGACAAAGCCTTGTGATTCTCAATTTCTTAACTCACGAACTCCCCCTCTCATGCACCACCCATACGTCAATGATCCAGGCACCAAGTGCTGAATTTGAAATTTCAGGGTCATAAAACAAACATCAGTAGCCTGTGATTGTGTACAGTTTTGATACATTGTTCACCTTGGATTCTTTTACATGGATATTGAATTTTTTAACAATTGCATTAAAATACTTGCTTTCTGAGGTTTCTCTTTGGTAGAGTGATTCTTCAAATTGTGTGCCTCCCTCACCTGATCCTAATTCCTCTGCTACTGCTCACTTTTGCTGTCTGACAGCTCCTCCCTACCTAGGAGTCCCAGAAGTCTGTCTAGTCATTTATAGACCACAGAGAGAGATGTAATAGCCCCCTACAGCCAGTCTATGTTTCACCTCTTAGATCCCCTTAAAAGTCTTGAATTCACCTTGTTATTTTATTATTCATCTCTTCCCTCTCTCCCAACCCAACTCTAAATAAGGAATTCTTTCTTAAACCATAATCCCTTTTGGGCACCTTTAGGACTGAGTCAGACATGTAGATTCCAGAAAACCACATGCAGGAGTTTCCAAAACGCTTTGGAATTCCCAGTTGAATTTGTATCCCTAAAAGTTCATCAAACGTTTAATTCCTTGTCTAAACAAAAATCATGTGGAATTTGAGGTTGGCTTAACGTGGACTCCTCAGGCACCTTCATGCCCCCACAGTCATGGATGTTGAAATAACCAGGGCTGAGTTGGAAACTGTATCCCAAGGCACTATGTGAATCAACTGAGGGATTGATTGATGGCATCTAGGTTATGCAACTTCCCCTGCTTTGTGACATGCCAGTACAGGTGCAAAAACACCACACTGGAAGAGCAACAATAATGTTGTTTTGCTCTTTTCCTTCCTTCTGCAATATCGTGGAAGTGTAGTTAGCAACATTCTTAGCCACTTGTTTACCCAAATTAGTCTGGTGCTGGTAATGACTGACTGTGGCTGGCACTCACATCCCTCACCCCAGGGTAGCCTTCTCTAAGTCCTGGGGCAACCAGCTGCAGGAAGCCTGCTTAACTCATGAGTTTTTTGTGCGTTTCCTATCTTTCCACTCCAGTAAGTATGCCCTTTTTTGTTTACATGTCCTTGAAGCTGGGATGTCCCTCCTGAATTCTATTTCTTTCCATCTTGTCCTCATTAAGGCCAGAGGGGTCATGGCGCTAAGGGAGGACACTCCCTAGTCACATCTGGACTTTGCTATTCTTTCACTTTGAGACAGCTATTAACTGGGCCTGAGAATCTACAGCGGGTACACATCTGAGAGGCACTAATCAAATGAAGTTAAGCTGAAATTCCACTTTAATTGGTTTATTGACTTTTTAGCCATATCTGTTTGCATATTATTTTTAGTGTTGTTGTCTGTATTACAATACATATTCTTAACTTTCCACAGTCAGGTTAGGGTTTATATTATACTACATCATTTTAAATCTAATAATCTATGTTACTTGATAGCTCTACACATACATAGCTACACACATTATGAACCCTATATTATAATTTTTGCTTTTCCTTATTTACAATCATGTCTTTTTGTCTCTTCATATATCAATTAATTCTGGATTATATCCCAGCTGTTGTGAAAAATATGTTATAGAAATGTACAATGCTGCTATGTGGCTTAAAGATCAGAGTCTCAGGCAGAGATGATAAGCAGAACTTAGGGCTTCCTCTCTCTGTCATGCTCTCTCAGGATTTTTTACCTCCCTGACCAGCAGCTTTATTTACCCTGAGTTCTGTCTTTGAGTTCTTCAAACCAGTAAGGCATCATTTTCCACTGGTTTTATTCACTTTACAAGATACAGATCAAGGCTGTGATGCTGAAAGTTATTATTTTTTTAATAAGGAAAAGAGAAATATATCCAGAGTCATTCACTTTTGTCCATGAATTGCCCAGGGAGCTTCCTCCAGTCAGCGTGCCTTTTTCTTCACTCTCTAGTGCCTTCAGGTAATTGGTTATATATTTTTAAAAATATCCATAATTTATAGGTGTTATCTTTATGAAGTGTGGCTTAATAGGAACTACTAGACCTGACCAGAAGCAGAACTCTCTCAAATGATACTGGTTTGGTACTTCTCCTAATGCAAAAATGGGGTGGGATGAGTGGGAAGACAGTTTGAAGTTTTGTTAACAAGCTGGTGATATATTTTCAGTTTAAGAAATATTTTAGAGCATTTTATCTAAATTCTAGGTACTAGAATACTTACATAATAATGCAAGCAAGAATTAAGGGCACCAGCCCTGCCTTGGAAACAGGTCACAATAAAATCTTCCCTCCCACCAGGCCTGCAAAATATGAGCTCTCTACTAATTTCAGCCTGGAAAACAAGGGGTTAAACATCACCACAACAACCAGTGTTGTTCGGTGTTGTTTCTTTACCTTTGCTATTTTACTCTATCCCCAGAACAGCCTGAGTGATGGCATCAGTGTTTTGTTCTCATCCTCCCCTTAAAGATGGAAAAAGTGAGGCTCAAAAAGGTTCAATATAATCTTCGTAAAGTCACATAAAGGAAGAAAAGGGAGGAAATTAATATCAACCTCAGTGAGCCCGGCTCTAAACCCTGGTTTCTTTCCACTTCCACTGATCAAACGTGGAAGAACTATCTGTCGTCTACCTGACCATTCCTATATGATTCTGAACATACAAGTGGCCTCTAATCTGCCTGTCTACACAGAGAAAACAAACATGTGCTCTTGGTACCAGTCCTATCCTGCCTTCCCAAGGTAGAACAGATGATACAAGGACCCTGGTGTCTCTAGGGAATCAGCAGGTCTGCCCTTTGAATGCTTTAATCGTCTTCAAGCTCTCTTGTGTTAACCTAGGGATCTCTGAGCTTCATAAAGCCTGCAGCAACATCCTTGGAGCTCTCTTCACAGAACTCCTGCGTCTCCATTCTAACCCTTATTCTAAACTTTGATGTATTGCCTCTACGATTAGTGATAGTTCAGTCTTCTCTCTGAAACACTTGTAGTACTTTAGATGCAGCAATAGCATCTAATATAATAAATGTAACAAGAGCAAAACAAACAAAGCAAAAACACCATCACCTTACTTCTTAAGTGCAGCTTTTCTTTTCTTGTCTTAAAAAATTTAGTTTTAAATTTTATTCTTTTGAAAGAGCAAGAGATAAGGCCGGTGCCGCGGCTCATTAGGCTAATCCTCCGCCTTGTGGCTTCAGCACAGCGGGTTCTAGTCCCGGTCGGGGCGCTGGATTCTGTCCCGGTTGCCCCTCTTCCAGGCCAGCTCTCTGCTGTGGCCCGGGAGTGCAGTGGAGGATGGCCCAAGTCCTTGGGCCCTGCACCCCATGGGAGACCAGGAGAAGTACCTGGCTCCTGCCATCGGATCAGCGCGGTGCGCCGGCCGCAGCACGTGGGCCGAGGCGGCCATTGGAGGGTGAACCAACTGCAAAAGGAAGACCTTTCTCTCTGTCTCTCTCACTGTCCACTCTGCCTGTCAAAAAAAAAAAAAAAAAAAAAAAAAAACAGCAAGAGATAGAGATCTTCCATCTGCTGGTTCACTCCACAAATGCCTGCAACAGCTGGAGAGGGGCTAGGCCCAAGTAGGGCACCAGGAACTCTATCGAGCCAAGGGTGGCAGTGACCCAAGTACTTGAACCATCTTCTCCTGCCTCCCTAGGTGTCTTTTAGTAAGAAGCTGGATGGTCTCTCTCTCTCTCTCTTTCTCTCTCTAACTCTGCCTGTCCAAAAAAAAAAAAAAAAAAAAAAAAGCAGAAGAAGAAGAAACTGGATGGGAAGTAGAGGCACAATTTGAATCTGGGCACTCTGTTATAGAATGTGGGCATCCGAAGCAGTGGCATAACTCACTGCCCCACGAGACCTGCCCCTGGCTTTTATTCTCTGGACTTCTTTTATTGTCATTATTTCATTTGATTCAGCCAGCATTTTAGAATCTCCCTCTGTTTTCCTCTCCCTCCCCAAAGAAAATACTAATTATTTCTATGACTTTTTATTTTAACCAGAACATTACTGCTAGTTTAAGAAGACAGTTCTGATGTACAAAAGAACACTGAAGACTGGCACTGTGGCACAGTGGGCTAAACCACTGCCTGCTACACGAGCATTCCATATAGGCACTGGTTCAAGTCCCAGCTTCTCCATTTCCAATTCAGCTCCCTGCTAACGCACCTGGGAAAGCAGCAGAAGATGGCCCAAGTGCTTGGTCCCCTGCCACCCATGTAGGAGAGCCAGATTGACTTCCAGGATCCTGGCTTTGGCTTGGCCAAGTCCCAGCCATTATGGTCATTTGGGAAGTGAATCAGCAGATAGGAGATCTCTCTTTCTGGGTGTGTGTGTGTGTGTGTGTGTCTTTGTAACTCTGCCTTTCAAATAAATAAGTAAAGCATCTTTTAAAAAGTTTGTGAAAAATAAGATTTAAAGGTCAATTCATTTTGGTATAAAAAGTTTTGAAATCCACGCATATGAGAGGTCTTCAAATAGTGAAAATATGTACTATGGGAAAATTATGCATGAATTTCAAAGGTTTTTTGCACCAAAATAGACTTATATTTTAATTCCATTTTCCATAAAATCCTTGAAGTACCCTCCTAGGTGTTTTTTCTCAGTAGAACTAGCTCCTTCAGCAAGCTATTTCAGGGATATAAGCTGCACCAACCTGTTTGCCTGTGATTTTGACTTCCAGCTGATGGATTTCGGTTGTTCTTGGCTCTACCATCAAATGGCCTTAAGGAATAACCTCTGTAGCTCCCACAATATGGCAACCAAAGCTCTTGGGTGTGCTCGGTGCTGATAGGTACTTTCAGCCCTCAGAAGAGACAAAGGTAGAGATGCAGAGATGAAAGCCAGGTGATAGGGGTTCAGCTTTACTTACTAGGGTGGAAAATGAATTGTCAAATAACCTTGAAAATGCTTAAGCAAGATAAATGAGATGTGTTCTGAACTTCCACAGGACTTAAGCTCTTCTCATGTAGAAACGTGGAGACATGCATCCCAGCAGTCATGTTACTCATGTGTAACTGTGTTCAAGGTGTTTCCTGTTAGGTCATGTTGATAGTAGATAGGTGGACTAGACATGGGGCCAAAGCAGGTTGCACAGTGCTGAGATAAGCATGCTGTGCCTTTACACACCCATAACACAAGAGGCCAACCAGCCACCGTGGAAAAAGCAAGATGATGAAAGAGCAACTTCTAACCTCAGCATTAAGTTCACTTGATAGAACAAAATCCTCAGCTTGCCCACAACTGCAAAAACAAGGCTGGGTGACTAAGTATCAGAAGACCTGGGTTCTAGTCTGAGCTCTCCCGTTGTCCCACTTTGTAACTCTGTAGCCTTGGTTTGCTAAAATCTGTGCTTTGGGCTCTTGATACAGAAAATAGAGAGGAATAAAAATTGCATCGAATTTAGACTTAAAAGGCCTGGGGGAAATTATTTAACCTCTCATAGCTGCCTCCACAGAAAAAGTTCACTTTCCACAATTACTGGTGAAGTAATTACTAGTCTCTGGGAATGTGATAAACTGCAAAATAAAAAATCCCATTCTGAGAGAGTCTACCTTTGAGACAAGCAACTAAACAGTAATAAAATAAACAATAGGAGACATGGGGTATAAACGTAGCCAGATAGTAATGAGCTTCATGAAAGCAAATCAAGTAGGATAAGGATAAAAGGAAAGTTTGCCATTTCAGTTAGAGTGGGTGGAGGTAGATAATATCAGAAAGTTATGTTGAAAAACTGAAAAGCAATGTGTTTTAACATACCATAGCATCATTGTTTATGTATTCACTTTAAAATATATAATATTTATTACTTTTTGAGATAACATTTCTATTTACATTATAGTTAAAGGCTTATTGGTTCCACCAAATAAAGAGCTTGACAAATACCAAGTAAAAAAGACCATAAAGGCTAAAAGGACTACAGGCACTTCCCACAAGGTAAGAGTGGGGTCTTTGGGCCAGTTTATGGCTTCTTGGTAAGGCATGGCATGCCAATTGCTGGCATTTCACATTATCTGGTTTCTTCCAATATTGCCTCCTTGGATGATTTTTTTTTCCATTTCTGTGGTTGGAGCTTGACCTTCTGCAGCAGAAACTTAACGAATGTAAGACTCTCCTTAGGAGCAGTGGTATTTGATAGCATAGATAAAGAGTTCACTGGTCATCTCTGTTCCCCAGGATTTGGGGCTCAGCACAGGGCACTGGACTTGGTGGCCCGAAAGGACTATTTGTTTTGGAGAGACCCATCCACCAGGGGGTATAACCTTCCCATTTGGAAAACAAGCCCTGAAGCAATCAGCCCAGTGGAATCCCTCTGCCCAGAGCACACAAAGAGCTCCACTGTACAGCCACATCCTGGCTGAGAAAATGCCTGCAGGTAGCGATTCTTGGGCTATGCACTGGCCTGATTCTGAGGTTGGGGTTCTGATTTACACATCTGAGAACTAATGGAATGGATTAGGGTTTTTGAAAACCAGCCATCTGAGAGCTGCCTTTCCCTCATGAGAAGCAAACTGTTTAGCTCCAGTGCCACTCGATATGTGTTTCCAAGGAGTTTCTGCCTCAATATCAGGGCAAAGCTTCACTGTGGGATGTAGAATGCCTGACAAAAAGGATACAGTCCGGCCAGCGCAGCGGCTCACTTGGCTAATCCTCCTCCGCCTGTGGTGCCGGCACCCTGAGTTCTAGTCCCGGTTGGGGCGCTGGATTCTGTCCCAGTTGCTCTTCTTCCAGTCCAGCTCTCTGCTGTGGCCCAGGAGTGCAGTGGAAGATGGCCCATGTCCTTGGGCCCTGCACCTGCATGGGAGACCAGGAGAAGCACCTGGCTCCTGGCTTCGGATCAGCGCGGCGCACCTGCCGCAGCACACCGCCAGAGCAGCCATTGGAGGGTGAACCAACGGAAAAGGATCTTTCTTTCTGTCTCTCTCTCTCTCTCTCTCTCACTGTCCACTCTGCCTGTCAAAAAAAAAAAAAAAGGATACAGTCATTACCCATGGTGAAAGGCGGCATTATAGGAAATTACAGAATAAGGAAGCATTTTAAATGTTTCTGGCTCTCCAATCAACAGCGGCTTTTTAGTGAGATTTGAATCCATGGTGGCTCTGTACGTGTCTCACCTAAAATTTATGGAATTCCCTTCTTCCTAGAAATGTGTGATAACCAGCCTGCAAGATGCACCCTAATGGTCCTCATGCCCTGTGTGGATCAGCCTCTTCTCCCCAGCACCCTCTGACCCCTCCACACACACACACACACACACACACACACACACTGCATCAGGACTGATTTGTGTGACCAAATACAGCAGACAGGACCATATGTGATTTGGGGGGCTAGATGAGAAAGTCAGAAAAGGCTTTTCAGTGTCTACCTAGATCTCTTAGGTTGCTTATTCTGGAGACAGTAAGATATTTGGCCATGAAGACATCCAACCAGCTCTGCAGAGAGGCCTAGAAGGCTTGATTGGAGCTGAGGCTCTGTTTCAAAGGTTGCCTTCTTATGTGCCTGGGCTTCATGATCTCAACAGTCTGCGCTTGGGGAATCATATACAAGGATAGGATTTCCAGTCTCACAGCCTCCTCCTTTTTCTTTCCAGCAAGAGTGGTTTAGGAAGCACAGATGTACCATCAAATCTGAAGGCATTTGCTACTAGTCTGACCCTGACTCAATCATCTATTTGCATAACTGGACTTTGATTTTATTCCTGAGTCTCAGTTACCATCCAGTTACCATCATCAGTTACGGTTCTACTGACCAGATCTTGACCTTCATGGGCTGAGGTTTTGACTTGACACCTGAAGCAGACAATTGGTGCAAAATATCCATATCCCCACAACTCATAATAGTTTAACTTGTAACTGCTGATGCCTGTATCAACAATTTGCCTGCTGCCTTCCTCTAGAGGCAAGAGCACACACTGGCCATGTTTGCAGCAAGCCAGAAATGCCAGGGAGTTACTGCATACTTCTCTAGCCCCTTGAAACCAGTGACTGATGGTCAACCCAATACATCTACTGAAACTAAGGCCAAGTAAGTACATCTGTAGTGTCAGACTCAGAAGCAGTATTTAGCAGGCTTATTCTTAAGGATGATCACAAATTTTTATTATTTATTTAAAAGACTAAGTTACGGAGATAAAGAGGGAGAGTCAGAGAAAAAAAGAGATCTTGCATCTGCTGGTTCACTCCCCAAATGACTACAGCTACCAGAATTGATCCAGATGGAAGCCAGGAGCTTGCAACAACATCCAGGTCTCTCTCTTATGTGGGTGCCAGAAACCCAGGTTATTGGTCCTTCTTCTGCTTTTTCTGGTGCATTAGCAGGGAACTGGATTGGAAGTTGAACAGCCATGACTTAAACTGGTTCTCATAAGGGATACCAGCAACACCACAGCTTAACCCACCATACCATAACACCAGCCCCAACCACACGTTTCTTAAAAACAGAAACTGGACTTTGATAAGAAATCCCCCACACCCAATGTCGATTACAGGAAATGACTCTAAAATTTATTGGTGTGGTGGTAGGCAAGATGACATCACAAAATTCACTGGAATCATTACTCAGGCTGAAGAGATTCAAGTTTACTGGATCAAAGAGACCACAGTCTCTTCCATTCAATCTTGGAAACTCTAGATAGGTTTTATGTTACTATTCCTTGCTGTGCAACAAATCATCTCAAAATTTATTGGCTTAAAACAATAATCTCACAATTACTGTGGGTCAGAAATTCTGTTTTAATATAGTATGTTATCATAACATATGTCAAGTATGAAGGCACTTCAGCAAGCTCCCAGGAATATGTGTGTTGGTGCTGCCTTTTCATTGGAAACTATCTCCAGTCAAAGTGTATTTATGATGCCCCATTAGCATGAAACAGTTAAACAGGATAGACATACTGGACCATCAATATGGGGAACACTTCAGCATCTTGGGAATGAACTTGAAGAACCAGGTGATGGCTTTACCATTGGCCCATTGACCCATAATATTTCATACCCAGGGTCACTCTAGAAAAAATCATTTCTCCCAAAGCTCCCCAGACCTTATCCAGAATGTACATTAAGGAGAGGACTGCAATAAAAAGGAGCAGACAACTGTCCTTTTCTCATGCATTTGCTTCTCTGACTTCAACCTCCAGAGGGCACTGGTATTCAAAAAACCAAACCTCAAGCCTGGCACCACAGAACACCAGCTGTTTGCCCTGCAGGGTAGGGAAATCCTCAGCAGTTCTCTGTGAATAATTTACACTGGTGAAATTTAATCATAGACTTCATAGCACTTAAAGTGGGATGCCTCCCCCAAGTAATATGAGAGAGCCCCCAAACCACGGTTTGTACTGCTCTTCATGTCTGCTTTAAGGGGTGTGTCCACAGCTCCCCACCATTAGCTGCATGCCTCTCAGATATTTTCGAAATTCTACAGTATTTCTTCATCATGTTTAGTATCAGAAAACAGAGAAACCTGGAGACCCTGGAGCCTATCCAGAGATGTTCAGGGTGTGGTGCTTTAGGACCATGTGTTAGCCAAAAAGGATGAGAGCTTGAGAGTTCACAGCCCAGGCTTCCCATCCAAACTCTGCCTCTTACCAGCCATATGACCTTGAACAAGTAACAACCACATCTCAGCCTTTTCTGTAAATGGAAATTATCAATCTTTAATATTCTGGCATGGAAAAAATTCACTTGAACATGTGAAAAAAAAGTGTATCTTTGTAAAGTCAGTTTCTTCTCCAACTTTCTTATCTCTACCTTAAAAATACTCTATAGAATGATATGGATTCCTGGAAGTTTTTCTATAGAATCTTCATCACTTATTTGAATTGAATGCTAGCCCCCTTAAGAAATAAGCTTTCAGAGTTGGCATTGTGGCTTAAAAGATGCTGGCCTGCAGTGTCAGCATCCTAATATGGGCACTAGTTTGAGTCCTGGCTGCTCCACTTCTGATCTGGCCCCCTGTTATTGTGCCTGGGTAGCAGAGGAAGATGGCCCAAGTACTTGGGCCCCTGTAGCCATGTGGGAGACCCTGAAGGAGCTTCTGTCTCCTAGCTTTGGGGAGTGAATCAGCTGATGGACGATCTCTCTCTTTGTCTCTCTCTCTCTCTCTCTCTCTGCTTTTCAAATAAATAAATAAATCTTTAAATAAATACATTATTTATTTAATAAATAAATATCAACTTTTGGGGCCAGCATTGTGGCATAGTGGGCTAAGCCAACTCCAGTATCACTTTTAGGCAGCAGTTTGAGTCCCAGCTTTCCACTTCGGATCAAGCTCCCGGTTAATGCACCTAGGGAAGCAGCCTAGGATGGCCCAGGTGCTTGGGCCTCTGCACCCACATGGGAGACCAGGATAAAGCTCCCCTGCCCTAGCTGTTGCAGCCATCTGGGGAGTGAACCAGAACATGGAAGATCTTTATCTCTCTTTCCAGTTAACTCTGCCTTTCATATAAATAAATAAATCTGAGAGAGAGAGAGAGAGAGAGAAGGAGAACAGGAGAAGAGGGAAGGGGAGGGGAGAAGAGGGAAGGGAAGGGAAATAAACTTCTGGAGGTGAGCATTGTGGTGTAATAGGTTAAGCAGCTACATGCAATGCCCATGTCTCATATCGGAGTGGCAGTTCAAGTCCTGCCTCTCCTTCCTATCCAGCATCCTGCTAATAAGTCAGGAAAAGCAGCTGAAGATGACCCAAGTACGTGTGTTCCTGCCACCAGTGTGGGAAACTTAGATGGAGCTCGTGGCCCCTGGCTCTGGCCTGGCCCAGCACCAGCTGTTGAGTCCATTTGGGGAGTGGACTAGTGGATGAAAGAGATATATTTCTCTCTATCAGCTATCTCTCTCTCTCTCTCTCTCTCTTTCTCTCTCTCTCTTTCTATATTCTGCCTTTCAAATAAATAAATAAAGCTTTTAAGAAAAAAATTTTAATTATTACTTGTTTTATGTATTTGATAAGCACATATAGGGTTGGAGAGGGAGAGGGAGAGAGAGATTTCCCTTTTGCCAATTCACTCCCTCAAATGCCTACAACAGGTAGGGCCTGACCAGGCCAAATCCAGGAGCCCAGAATTCAGTCTGGGTCCCTGTTATGCCAGCATGACTGCCTCCCCAGGTGCACATTATCAGGAAATTGGAACAGGAGCAGAGCTGGGATGTGAACCCCAGCACTCCAGTATGAGATACAGGCTTCCCAAACAGCATCTTCACTGCTAGGCCACACGTTTACCCTAAACTGTTTTCATTTGTCTGGCACCTCTCGAGCAATAAGAAAGAATAAAGGCCATGTGAAAGACAGAAAGCAAGCTAGCCATGAAACAGTAGGCTCTCTTTACTGTCATGCCTGATGCCTACAGTGTTGAGGGAGTTGGCCGGGTCCCTGGGGCAGAGCAGTCTTTGGGGGATAAGGTTGGAAACATACTTAGCAGGAAACTCTCCTATAATGTAAGGCATTCACTCCCCCAGTGCCCACCTCAGGGGTGTAAGATGTTTCAAGGACACCACTAAAAGCCAAGTTTCATGAGTTGAGAAAGTTCAGAAACAAATCTTGAGTCAATGTACCTACTGTGTTGTATCTTAGATACTCCTCCAAAGAGTCATGAGCTAACATGGAACAGGCCCAGTTCAAAATCCTGAGACTGCTGGTTCCTTGTCCCCAGTGAGCTTTCTGTCTAGCAAAGGAGACAAGCAATGAACAAGCAGTCACAATATAGTAAAATACGCACTCTGTGCTTGGATCCAAGTGTCACATGTCTAGGACTCAAATTTTAAGAGACGGGATCCGGGCTATGCTAAAAAAGAAACATGTGCTTCATCACTCGCAGAATTTGGACAGCAAGATATCTGGACTAAACCTTTTGATTCCCTGGCTTAGAATACCACAGGATAGATCTAATCAGAGCCTGGACAGCAGGAAAATGTGAAGATCACTAGATTTTAATAATAATAATAATAATTTATTCAAAA